GTAATGCTCAATAAAAAATATAAAATAAAAGGTAAAATTTAAACGTAAAGAAACCTGTGGTCACAACTTCCAAGTCGAGGTGTCATAAGGGACGATAGGCACTATCCATCAGGGACGATGAAAATGACCTCACAAGTAGGGACACAGGAAGCTTAGGGAAGCATGCCGTCTTTATTATGCTGGTCCAAAACTAGGCCTGGATGTGTGAGTAGGAGTAGGAGTAGCATCCTATCAGAAAATTATATAACTGATGGTCTCTTTTTATTTGAAGAAAAGGTGATCCAAGCTCAAAACATGTCTTTTAAGGTTATAATAAGACACAGAGTACATAACTCGTCACCCTGAACAAGGAGCTCCATGATTTGGTACACAATACTGGCACTGGCATCACCAGAGGTGGTTGCAAATGGAGATAGGCTGGAGAAATAATCATAAACTTAAGGGATGGTCAAGATAAAAAAAGGATTTGTCACATACCTGGCATGTTCCAATAAAATCACCAAAAAAAAAAGTGGTCGAGCGGACGAATAGCTATTTCTTTAATTAGCCATAAATGGCACTCCGAACCACCGAGAGAAATTTGAAGGAATCACCCCTTCAAGAGACTTTTAAGAAAACTTAGCACCTTTGTCAAAAAACAGAAGGGCTCGCTGACGTCACTGACGTCGACTCGCTTAACCATGCCGCCAAGACAGAGTGGCGCGTCCTAAAGCAAGGCCGTGCGCAAATTTGATAATTTCAGCATGAAGCTAGCCGAAAAAGGTGGCTTTAGCAACCGGAAGGATTGGTATTATTCGAAAGGATATAGAGCTGGGCGAAAATCATTGAATAGAGATGGTGCCACCTGGATGGAAGCAGTAGGTACATAAAAATAAGGTTGACTCCCAATTGCAATCTAAACCCAAATTTAAATGGAAACAAGTACACTTGCTTTAAATGCATTACAATAATTAATATATACATTAATACCGATGATTAGGTTCAATTAAAAACACCTTAAATATAATAAATTTACATACTTAAAATAATAATAATATGACAAGTAGCTTAATTGCTACAACATCAAGGTTTCTGGCTAGTTCCTTACATGTAACATGTTGATTGTCCTGAACACTTAAATAATAAGTCCATCATTTTCTCATCAATTATGGGTGGTTGACCGTTTCTTGAAGCATCTCGAACATGACCAAGTTGAAGAAATTTCCGCGCAATCCTGCTTGTCTAGCAAATTGGCTATCAAAATTTGACAAAAAAAAATAGATTTGAAACTGTTTTCATAGTATCTAACTAAATAATACATAACTATCAATCGAACTGAACTTCTTGTTTTTTTTTACTGAAAATAATTTTCGTTGTCGATTATTATTTTTATTGTCATGTAAAGTTTGAATTGGCCATAGTTCAAAAGCAATTGGATTTGGGTATAGGAGATGATAGGACATAATGTGACGTACCTATAAAATGCTGAAAATTAGACAAAAAATCCATAAATGTTTGTAAAACTGGTGGGTTCTATTTAAAAAATTGAAGTTGATAACAGCGTAGCTATTTTGGAACAAAAAAACGAAATTGCCGTGTCTAAGCGACTTTTCAAAAATTCTACCGTTTTGAAAATATAAATTCATGTGGGACTTTATGAACTCACTGTATATGAGTGATGAATGACTTCCATTCCAAAACTTGCCACCTACGTTATCTGCATAAAGAGACAGACTTGTGAAAATCGCAGAAACAGGTCAACAAATTTATTGAGTGGGAATGTTTTTTCACGTAAAACTCCCCCGCAATAACTTTGTTTACGTGTTTTTGCGATTTTCACGAATCTGTCCTTTCACACAGATAACGTGGGTGGCAAGTTTTGCTTTTCTATTGACATCATTATTAATTATTTGGCAGTGTCTTTAACTATGTCCAGTCCATTTTATTCTGATCTGAGACGGAATATTGTAACATAACTAGACTGTTTTGGCCGAGATCCCTGCGATTTCCTCTTCATAAATATACTAAACTTCTAAACATAATATAATAAAAATATTTATGCATATTGCGTAAACAAGGCAGTTTATTCAAAAAAAAAAAATACTAAAATAATAGTATTAGTAATAGAGTAGTTTAGAGTAGGTGGACATATAATCGTTGCACGCTACAACCATCATTCTATCTTTTTCTGATGTACGAGTTAGAATCATGACATAACTCGAGAATCCCAGGGTGCTTTCACGATGCAGTGGGATGGGACACGAGATTTGCGAATGTTTCCTCGGTTTTCGTCGTGCCTTTTTGCTTGTCCTGGTTTGGTGAACTTTATTTTTGAGGTGTTGCCAGATTGATTCCGGAAAAAAATTGTTGGCCAAAAAGTTTCTTTATGACTGTTTGTGTAAGCTTTATTAATTTTTATATATCTCTCTCACCAAAATATAAATATTATCAGATCTATAAAGAACACGTTTGTTCCATCGAAAAATAGTCGGTCGGTAAATTTCACAAATGATTCAGTTTAAAATTAGTTTGAGCCACTTGAGGACCTACGAACATACTCCCCAGTTGGTAGGTTGCACCAGAGAAACAACAGGTAGTGCCCCCAAGGGTCCAAGCTGAAAGTTTATGTGTAACTGATGAACGTGGTTCGGAAGACCCCCGGGAGTCCTACGTTAAGCTATACTTAGATCCTGTGCTGATTGGCCTCGGAAGAGAAAATAAAGTAGGTACAACAATCCAAACAAAAAAAAACCTGCCACAATACAATACTAGAAACTAGAAATACTAGATTCCACCAATAAAAATTTATGATACTATATTGTGATTATTTTCATTTAAACTGAAACAGCGACTTTCTTCTCTCCATTGTTCCATATACACGCTAATTTAAGCTTCAATTTCTAGCTAGTTGTTACCGACCTCGAAACGTCACAACTCTACTCACTACAACACAACCGGTCCCCCTTTTACAAATTCGCGCTTTAGCGTGACGACCCAATTTCTCGTACTATGGCGATTAAATGGGTCGTCGGCCCATTGCACAGGGATTCCGGCTTGTTCACTTGACGTAGGCTGGGGCCATCGCACTTACTAGGGAGTAGGTCTTTCCCTGGGAGTAGGTCAGGATCGGAGTTTATAGGAATTTTTACCTGCATTTTTTATGTTCTATTAACTGATCAGAATAAAATGGATTGGACATAGTTGCAGACACTGCAAAATAATTATTAATGATGTCAATAAAAATGCAAGAAATAATAGTTATGGATTATTTATAAAACTGAACTTGCTTTTGTCCTTTTCTACCAGTGAGTTTTTCTTCCAGTTGTTAAAATCTAGAAAAATTACTCAGTATGTAAGAAAAAGGAAAATATTATGGAATAAATTCAGCACCTAATAAGATATGACATACACTTTTTTGTGTGTTAATAACGATACACTGTTTATCACATAAAAAAATGTTTTTTTATCATCCATACATTTCTTTGATTTTGTATACTGCAAATTTCCATGTTATTGTATTATTATGGACATTGCAGCTCACATCTGTAATCAACGAGACGAAATCTGGAAGGGATAAAGGAGTTAACTTGTGCTCCACCTCGTTTAGACAGTAAATAGGGAAACAGGTCGAATCGACGAGCTCGGATCTAAAGATATAGAGCACCAACATTTAATTTTATAGTAGTTAATGCTTAGCCTATAGATGTAATACTTATAGATTTTGCATGATGCTTAGATGAAATTATTGTCATTGGTTTTGCTAGACTTTGTTGGAATGTTTTGAATGTTTTGAATCTCCAAAAATTGGAACATTGTGGCTATTCATAACAGCTCTAAAATTTATATTCCAAATCTTTTTTAGTATAAAATTAAGGTACGTCGTAGTCTAGAATTCGGAGTTCGTTGTATTCAAGGATGATTCCGGCCAGTGGCGCGCATGTTAGGTCGGTTCAACGCACTCGCATCCCCGAGTTCCTCCGGGATAGGTCAGGTCCAGTCGCGATGCGACGGCGGCCGGGCGCGGTGTGAACGGGAATAAACGGGAAAATGTTTTACTGAAAAAAACGTTTCATAGCATGGGCGTGTTGCAGGTGAATTTTCAAACGTGATTTTGTGTGTATTGTAAACATTTTGGATGTTTAAATTTTATAACGTTTTTTTTTTTCTTCAATATTTCGAAATTAATTTTTTTTTTCGAAATTGTTCTCTACTATTTCTGGCTTAGATTTTTTGTCCAATTTTATTTTGTATAGCAAAGCTTATATCAAAAAATAATAATTCTTCGATATATTTTCTTTGTTACCTCCAAATTATTATTTGTTTATTTAGTATGCGCAGGTCTTCTAGTTCGATGCCCTACCTAGTAAATGTGCAACAAATTTAAGGATGCATTTGTAGCATACTATAATTTTATTGTCTATGGCTATGCATTGATTAAATTTTTTATTTTACTTCAGTTCAGTTCTTTTTATTGACCCATAAAAAAAAATGTATTCTAATAATGACTGCCTTGAAGCATTATTTCTATTTGTACGCAATAAATGGAAAAGTACATTTTACAAGTAGCTTAAAATTAACTAATTTATATTCTATCTCAAAACACTCTTTTACTAAAGAGACTCTAGCATGTGATACTCTATTTTTTCAACTCTGATTATTACACTCAAAACTCAAATGTGGAAGTGAACCTTGGATGTATAAGATTTTAAGCAAAACGATCCCTATATTGTAAATTAAGAAATTAAAGTTTTCAGTGAAATAAAAATTCCAATTTTATAATTTGGTTTTTGAGTTATTTTGATAATCATGTACCTACCTACCCAAAAAGTGTTGGCAACATTTTGGTGAACACACATGAAAACAACATATAAAGCCTGAAAATATATGGGATCAGTATACATATATAGTTGCTTTAAAGTTTTCACATCAGTATCTGAAATATTCAGGCTCGGTATTATAATTAACTTCCCAAAAATTCTTACTAATTAGTAATTTCGTCTTAACCTTAAATTTTGTTTCAGGACGCGCGCGGCAAGCGGCCCTTCAAATTATGGGACGGGCAGCGTAGCGTGCGCAAGGGGCTGGTGGTGGGAAGCCTCGAGGAGTTGGTGGCGCGCGGCCGTGACAAATTGGGCGTCGCAGCTCAAGACCCTGTAAGTACCTCATGGAAGGGATTTTTTTAATTCCCAATGTTTTGACTTGATAAAGTAATGTGTATATCGATTCAAACAAAAAAAATATATATTATTTTATTTTAGGTGAGACTGGTATTAGAATCGGACGGTACTCAGGTAGAAGACGCCGAGTACTTCAGAACCCTACCGCCGAATAGTGTATTGTTATTGTTACGACCGGGAGAAAGATGGTTACCGGCTGGAGTTGATGTTATCCGTGCAGGTCGGTAAAATTTTAAATGTTTATTTTTTCTGGTCATTATGCCCTTGTTAGATCATTATTTATTCTTTACTTGTTTTAGTAGTCTCTGCAATTCCCAGAATTGTATGCGAGACTATCAACGCACTGGAGTTACAGGATGAAACGCCCTCGTGGAAAATCATGGACAACAAGGTAGCTCTCGACAAAAAAGTAAAATATTCGAGATATAACTGGAAAAATTCCATTTTAGGGCCGGGTCACAGTCGTATTACACTGGGACCAACGGCCAGGACGAGGGCCTGTTGACGTACCATCACCAGCCAAGTTTTCGCCAAGTAAACGGCCACCCACGGGAGCGGGGACACAGCCTCCGGCTGCTCCCAAGGGCCCGCCGCCGCCTCAAGATGGATTTACGCCGCCTCGGAGGGCCAGCCCGCAGATCACTGTGATAAACCACGACGAGGTACGAAGTATCCGCATTTAACTATTTTCATTACTCATAACTTGATTTTTTTTAGGTTCGACCTTTGGGTGCTCGTCGCACTAGTTCCCTGGAAGCGCCAGTGCATGTGCACACGTCAGAATGTGCGCATCATGCTCACCTTCCTCGCGCCGGTAGTCCTCAGAACGGCACGATCGAGTGCGACTTTCATTGCTGCGCGTTGCACGAGGAAGGCCGACGCATCGCCGTGCATAAATCGGTAGCAACGTCGCCCATCCAAGACGCTGCCGCCGGGGCACAAGCCCAGGCTTCTCCACAGCCACGACATGTCCGTTTTTTAGGTAAGAAATTACAATCGTTTCAGATCTGCCCTACCCGAAATAACATAGCTATTCAAAATCAGCAAAACTTTAGTAAAACTTGTGCAAATTTATGATGAAATTTTTTTCAGTTTTATTCAAAATATAATGTTCTAAATTGTCCAAACAATATCAGTTCCTAAATAAATTTTAGCACTTCCCTGAGTAATTTTTTCGTGATTTTATTACTCCGCTACCTTATTGAAAGGTCATGTTTGTCACAATAAAACCCAATCTCAATAAGAAACAACGAAAGATCTCAAAATAGGCAACCACTACGCGTTTTCCAGACGTTGAAGGTGACGGCCGAGGCAGCGGACGCCTCTCTGAGCACGAGTCCTCCGAGTCCGAGACGGAAAACACCGTCATGGAGGACGAGGCCGTCACCTCCGAAAAGTTCCTTCTGCTCATCGACCAGCTTAGCGTCGATCAAAAGCGCCACCTAAGCATCAAGGATATCGGCATCATCCTGGAGAGGCTCAGTTCGAAAATTTTGGACGTGGAACGACTAGACCGGGAGAGCGAGAGTGACGATTGTTACAATTGGACCATCAAGGTAACGTTAACTTTATTTATTTTTTACTGATTAAAACATTTATCGTGTCGTGGTTTTACAACATTAGTTGAACCTTCTTATTCCTGCGGCCGCCGAATACGCTAGCCGTCCCGATACACTGCCAATGGTTCCAATTATAGTCGCCTCTATTTTCTCATCAACCTGGTCACCCTAAGACATCTTTATTCCTAATAAAGGGCAGGCAGTTTTCAGCTTATCTGGACTTTATTTGCAAATTTTCAAATCAAAAGCCAACGTTTCGATGCCTTTTGCATTATTCTCAAGGCTAACGAGCAAAGAACGTTATAAAGTTTGTAAAAATATAAAATTTAAATAAAAAAAAATTAAAAAAATGAGATTAAAAAACTTAAGACTAATACATAAATCATTAAAAAGACCGACACAAACTCTAATTTAAAATTTACAAATTAGAACACATGTAAACAGAAATACATAATTATTGTTGTTGACTTATTATGTATTTAATAATAATATAGGTACCTTACCCAGATTACTCGAGCTAAAAATTGCATATATTGAAAACGATCTATTTTTTACAATACGGGAACTAGACGTTCCTGTGGTACTCTCGCCGTGATGTTTGGGTACTGATTTTACTTTTGAAACATCAGGGCCAGAGTACCTATCACAGGAACGTCTATTCCCCGTATTGTAAAAAATGAATCGTTTTTATTATATGCGATTTTTAGCTCGAGTAATCTGGGTAAGGTACTAGTCCGACAGCCGGTGGCCTTTTTTCCAAATCATTAATAACAAGCTAATTCTTTCAAAGCAGATTCATTTTACCGAGACGCCCAACTTTTTCCTTACGAAATTTGCGAAAACAGGTAGCTAACAGAGTGCGCAGGTACAAAACATGTCGATTTGGTGATTATGCAAATTTTATTAATAACAGTTAATTTTTTAGCTAAATTTTGAGATAATTTTATAAGTAATTTAAGACAACATTTGTCCGACAAAATAAATGGTTTGATCTAGGATGTCCCCCTCCTCAAACATGTAGCAATTACGCTACATAAAAAATGATTTATAACCAGTTGATTTTTTTACTGTAGCTTGGTGAATATTACTACAATTGAATGATAACACTATCCTACAAATAAAGAGGTAACTTTTTCCAGTCCTACACTCAAAATTTGTCGACTTCACGGTAATATTTTTTTCATTAATAACTGTAGGTCACAAAAACCACACGAGAGATTAACATTATCCTCTACCAAAATCTATCAATATCCTACAAAAAAGAAGGTAGTTATCGCTAGTCCGACAAAAAGTATGTAACAACTGCAGCAAATTCGATGAGAAGTTATATTATTATAAAGTAAAGGCGGTATAATCATATATGTATACAATGTCGACTACATATACAGGGTGTCCACTTAGTGCGATATAAGTGGACACCCTGTATATATGTACATATTTACGTATAAATATATATCTGTGTAAGGCATGGGCTAATTTCGAAATTTCCGTGCCAGGAGTATGGCAAATTACCACATTTTTCACACAGATACATGGATGTAACCGAGAATTAACAATATTTTGCAAGACAGTCAGATTATTGAATAAATTAATAAATAATAGAAAAAAAATCATTTGCGGCGCCGTACACGTAGGAGAAGTGAAACTTCTTAAAAACTATCTCCTCATGCAACTTTTAGACTTAGCATATGGGTCGGGATAAAGACGAAGGGTTACACGCATCTGTAGTGACGTCACAAGGGTATCGGCACTTGACAGTAATAGGCAATCCTCCTTGCGTTTATAATCCTTAATTTGCGGCAATCAATGGCTGTTTTTCTCCGTTTCTAATATTATTTTTGATAATATTTTAATAATTTTAATATACTTACATAATGACGGTTCACGGATATAATAAAAAAAAATCACAATGATAATAGTATAACAAAAGGGAAACGCGCATCTGTAGTGACGTCAAAAGAGTATCGGCGCTTGTCAATAATAGGCAATCCTCTTCACGCTCATAATCCTTGGTTTGTGTCAATATCGGCGCTTGTTAATAGTAGGCAATCCTCTTTGCGCTTATAGTCCTTGGTTTGTGTCAATCAATAACTGTCTTTCGCCGTCTCTTTACGTTATATCTTTCTTCTCTCTCGAGTAACGAAATTTGCCTGTGACACGTTTTTCAAATCACTCTCCATTGACGTCCAAATATCATCAGACCGCCGGCGCCGTCTAAGAAGTTTTACTCCAAAAATATCAGATTTAAACAAAAAATCACGTGAGTGGAAACGGCGTCCTATTGGCAAAAGCCGATACCTATTCATGATTTTGTTGCCACATTTGAAAATACGAAATGATGAGTTCAACGACGAGAACAGTTTCTAGGTGGTGACTTGTCTAATGAATTACTGATGGGAAATTCGGCATCCCCGCATTTTCCGAGCCCGCGTTTTCGCAGCGATTTAAAAACTCGATTTTCAAATCGTTTTGTTTCCAAAAATTTGCGTTTTTTGTATGGAAAAAGATATATAATAATTCAAAAATGTTTTTGCAAATGTAAAAGTGGCCTATTTTAGTAATTTTCATCAAGCCACAGTAAAGAAATCAACTGGTTAGAGATCATTTTTCATGAGCAAGTAATTGCTACATTTTTGAGAAGGGAGACACTGCAGACCAAACGAATTATTTTGTGGGTAAATCGAATTTTTGAATTATTTATAAAACTAGTGGTTATTACCTAGGTATAATAACACTTGCATAATCAGCATAATAACCAAATCAACATCTTTTACACCTGCTCACTATAATAGCTAGTGCTTTTGCAACTTTTCGCGAAAGAAAAGTTGGGCGTCTTATCGAAATAAAGATGCTAACGAAGATTTAGCCGGTTATTAATGAAAAAAGTTAAAACGTGAAATCGACTACCTACTTGACAACTTTTGAGTGTAGGACTGAAAATAATTACCTCTTCATTTGTAGGACACTGTGATCATTTAATTCTAGTAATATTTACTAACCTACAGTGAAAAAATCAACTGGTTATGAATAATTTTTTATGTAACGTTATTGCTACATGTTTAAAGGGGAGGACATCCTAGACCAAACCATTTATTTTGTCGGACAAATGTTGTTTCAAATTATTTATAAAATTATGTCAATATTTAGCAAAAAAACTAACTGTTATTGATAAAATTTGCATAATCACCAAATCGACATGTTTTTACACCCGCGCACTCAGTTAGCTACCTGTTTTCGCAATTTTCGCAAATGAAAAGTTGGGCGTCTTATCAAAATGATTAAAATGAAGATGCTCACGAAGATTCAGCCGGTTATTAATGAAAAAAGTTAAATCATAAAATCGACAACTTTTGAGTGTAGGACTGGAAATAGTTACCTCTTAATTGTAGGAAGTGTGACCATTCAATTCTACTAATATGACCAACCTACAGTGAAAAAATCAACCAGTTATAAATCATTTTTCATAAAACGTAATTGCTACATGTTTGAGAGGGGGACATCCTAGACCAAACCATTTATTTTGTCGGGCAAATGTTGTTCCAAATTATTTATAAAATTATATCAACATTTAGCTAAAGAATTAACTGTTATTAATAAAATTTGCATAGTCACCAAATCGACATGTTTTACTCCTGCGCACTCTGTTAGCTCCCGGTTTTCGCAATGGGCTCTTTCACTAATTTTTGAAATTGGCATATTTGGATAAAGCAACTAAAAACAGAATTTTCTGTATTTTTACTTTTGAAAAATTCATAATCCTTCTCGAGAAAACAGAAAAAAAGAAATACCTCCAAAAAATACCTCCATATAAAAACCCAGAATTTATTTCTATGACGTCGCAGCTCGCAATTTGACCGTGTTGCCGGTTGCCACTAATTGTCAACATTGAAAATTTGTAATAGATTTAATTCTGAAATGTTCGCAAAATAAAATATCATGAAAAGTATTTGAATTAATTAGTTATGGATTCAAGATTTTATAACTTTTTTATTGAAATTATGCTTAAACACAATTTAATACAATTTTTTATGTTTAGTTTTATTTTTTTTTTTTTACGTTGCACTACATTTAGTCACCACCGACAACAGCGCATTCGAACCTTTACCTGCTTTTACTACAGGGTAACACAGACGTCAGCAAATCGGCGCGTTTTAAATCAATTTGAATTTCGCCAATTTCAAATGCTTGTAAAAAACTTATTTAACCTTGTAGAAAATTTTTTTTGGTATATATGCCTAAAATAGTCCCTCCTTTGGGATTTTATACTTAAATTACGTATTTAAATTTTAGTGAAAGAGCCCATTTTCGTGAGGAAAAAGATAGGCGTCTCGGTAAAATGAAGCTGCTTTGAAAGAATTAGATTGTTATTAATGATTTGGAAACAAGGGCCTCGGCCCCCCGGACTATACCTATATTATTATTAAATTCATAATAAGTCAACAACAATAATTATTTCTGTTTACGTGTGTTTTAATTTGTAAATTTTAAATTGGAGTTTGTGTCGGTCTTTTTAATGATTTATGTATAAGTCTTAAGTTTTTTATTCTCAATATTTTTTTTTTTTTAATTTAAATTTTATATTTTTACAAACTGTATAACGTTCTTTGTTTTTTTAGCCTTGAGAATGATGCGGAAGGCATCGAAAACGTTGGCTTTTAATTTGAAAATTTGCAAATAAAGTCCAAATAAGCTGAAAACTGCCTGCCTTTTATTTAAAATATTTCTGGACGAAAACTACTCTACAAAATTATGCCTGATATTTGGCTTGTCGTCACGCCTTCCTTCATAACGGTCTGTCTGGGACGCGATCCTCCACCAGTTGTCCTGTCCATCTGAGTCTTCCTGTCTTAATAAACTCAACTCAACTCAAAATTCTTTATTTAATAAATTACACAGTTTTGTTACATTCACAGGCCGGGAGGGTAGTCCCCCCTCTAACTACAAATAACAACAATACATTTCTTAACCTAGGACATAGACTTACAAACTAACACTCA